TTTTATAGTAAAGAGTATGGAAAAATGCTAAATGGCTATCTTAATTTGTTCTCTCCAAACCAGAAGACTTAGATACAGATGGCCCCAGGATGCTGAGAAAGAAGGACAGGGAGGGGACAGCTCCATACATAGGTGTGTCATGGCGGCCACTGCAATGAATGTAACATGCAAGAAATGTACAGATGTGGTCCAGAATTGCCCACCAGTGTCCTGTGCCCTTGTGGACCCCACAGAGGACTGCCCCAGGCTTTCACTCTCCTTCCCCATGGATTGAGCAAACTCCCAGGGCAGGACAGGTAGCCAGGAGGGGCAGAACACTGGCAGGGACGGGGAAGCCAGATGCTCACAGAACCATCCACTGCAGCTGCAGCCACACTGCAAGACGGTGGGGATGGGACACGCATTCTAGTTCTGAGCCCAGCCTCCCGCAGGCAGCCGCTGCAGTCACTCCAGAACTAATTCTCTGTGTGCCACTCACGTGTGTGCACACACAACAGACACATACCCATAGACACATGTACGTCTCCTTCCTCAACCTCACCCTTTTTTTTCCCCCATTCTTTGGCACCTGGCTTTTTCCTCTTTGGCATGTCTTGGCTATGGTCCTGTTTAGGGAGCAGTTTTCTAATGTCCCTCCGCATAGGTGACCTTTGGCTACTCTCCTGCCATCCCTGCCCTAGAGAGAGAGAGAGAGAGTGTTTGTGTGTGTGGCGGCGAGAAGAGGTGCCCCCTCTTCCTTCTGGCCCCTGTGTCGCCACTCCCGGGGCAGGGTGGTAAGGTAGCTCATCCCTTCTCCCAGTCACTTGCAGAAAAGAGCTGGCTTGGGGGCTGTGATGGCCGATGCCAGGTTCGGCTGTATGCAGTCGCAGGCTTTCTGGAAACTTATCCGTTGTTAAGGCCCCCTCAGGTAAATGACACATTGGAGGCAGAGGTGGAGAGGTCTAATGAAGCTTTGTGCTAACCTCCCTAATTACCAATTGACTTGATCTTCTCACAGCTCCTAATAAGTGCCCCCTGTAAGTGCCTGATTAAGGAAAACAAATAACTCGGGGAGTGAGGAGGTCAAGACACCTGGTGTTCAGGGTGACGTGATGAGGACATAGTGGCAGAGCAGGGCCCTGAGCTGGGGATACAGCGATGGTGTGATGCCTCGGGATGGAGTTGGGTTTGGATGGGGAGGAGATATGTTGAGAACAAGGGTCATCGAAGTTTCTATAAAGGGCTAGAGAGTAAATATCCTAGCCTTATGGGCCGTGCCATTTCTGTCTCAGATCCTCACCTCTGCCGTAGACAAGACAGAAAAGGATAAGCGTAGCTGTGTTCTAGTAAAATTGTATTTACCCAGAATATTTAGTAGGCCAGATTTGGTCCGTAGGCCATGGTTTATTGAGCCCTGGTTTAAAAGAACCAGTCATTCTTTTCCTTCTTTTTCTTCGGTATCATTTTAAATGGGAATTGCTATCCCAGTGCTGAGGGACATTGGAGAGCAGAAGCTGGGCCTTACTCACCCATGCGTTTTGGACATAGCAGGTGATTTGGAGCTGAGTGGAGAACCAAGCCCGCTGTGGATTCTGAAGAGCAGACCACACAAGTTCTCATTCTGGGGCTGCAGTTCTTGGAGCTTCTGTCCCTTTGCATTTCTCTGGCCTTTGTTGCTGCCTGCTCATAGCAGTCCTGATCCTCCCTACAGCGCTTCCTTTCTGAGGCCTGTTTTAGTCGGGATGTGTTGCAATAACAACTTAGCCTCAAACCTTAGTAATTTACCCTATCTGCAGTGTATGGACACATTCAGGAGGCTCTGCTCCACATCGTCACTCAGGCCCCCAGGTTTCACCATGGCCGGAGAGGAGAGAGCTGCAGCACCAGGCTCAGGCCTCTGCTTATACCTCACAGGCCAGATCTGGCCACAGGGCTCCCGCTAACTCCACCTCCCTGCAGGGACTGGGAAGGGTGGGGGTGGCCATAGATACTTGGGAAGCAGGTAATGGTTCTTCTACGGTAACCAGCCCCACCCTCAATGTACTGTCAATAAAAGTTCCTGGGACAGCACAGTTCCGACCTGTGGGTCTTTGTGGTTCATGGTGACCAAATGTCACTGGTACATCAGAGGAGGGTCCCTCCCTGATGGACACCTTCTTACAAGTAAAATCAACTCCAGACCCTAGAGAAGCTTCCCTGTCTTGAGCTGGGGAGAGTGAGACAGGCCCAGCGTCCTTGCGGCTGCAGGGGCAGCCCGCTAGGGTCATGGGGCTTTGGTCTGTGGGCTCCAAGTGCCATCTCTGGGGCTTGACATTTTGCACGTAGGCAGGGGCAAACACCTTTCCTTTCCTCATCTGTAAAGTGGGGTTCCAGTCCTGGCCCTTCACTGGCTCCGAGGACCTGGAGAGGACACAGGTGTCAGAGCACTTTGGAGGAAGGGTTATTCTTAAACTGCCCCACATGTAATCTGGAAGTTCATCCTTGTCGTTCGTTCATTTATTTATCCATCTTCTAAACAAAATGTTATTATTATTGTTGGAGACAGGGTCTCAGTCACCTAGGCAGTAGTGCAGTGGCATGATCTCAGCTCACTGTAGCTTTGACCTGGGCTCAAGTATTCCTCCCACCTCAGCCCCCCAAGTATCTGGGAACACAGGCACACACCACCACGCCCAATGGGTGGTTAAAAAAAATACTGATTTTTGTATTTTTGGTACAGATGGGGTTTCACCATGTTGCCCAGGCCAGTCTTGAACTCCCAAGCTCAAATGATCTGCCCACCTCATCCTGCCAAAGTGCTGGGATTACAAGCGTGAGCCACTGCGCCCAGCCCCGTTTGACTTCTTGAATGCTCACTTTGGGCCCAGCTCTGTGTTCATTGCCATGGATTTATTATTATCTCTTTTAAGCCTAACACAACTCTGTTGAGTGTGAAGACCATTATCCCCATTTACCAGATGGGCAAGCTGAGGCCGATTGGAGGAGAGAGGCTCCTAAGCATTGGAGGCAGCTGGACTCCAGGCTCACACTCGTGACCCCCACCTCCCAGCTATGCCGCTAGACCTCCCTTCTCCCCTGTGTGGGTGCGGGCCCCTCCCAGCATGGGTTGCAGACTCTGCCCTGCAGTTGCAGGAACTGCAGGAGCAGGAGTTCCTATACCCCCACCCCGGTATAGGAAACAGCATCTGATCCAGACAGAATTTCTGTTTAGTGGGGGCTTGAATCCATCCAGAGAATCCTAGTGTGGTTTTAATGATCTCCCACCTTGCCCTGAGGGTGTGAAAACCTTTGATTATTTTTCCTCTAACAATAATTCCCCACCCCACACCCACCCCAAGGCACACACGACCACAGGCCTGCTGGAATCGTCACTGTGCCTCAGGAAAAGCTGTGGCCACACTTCCCCATCTTCCAAATGGAACAGAGGAGGAGGAGGAGGAGGAGGAGGAGGGGGAGGGGGAGGGGGGGAGGGGGAGGGAGGTCAGCCGGCCGAGGTTCACACAACAGCCCCTGTCCTGTGCCTGCGCAGGGGGAGCTGGGAGATGAGCACATCCTGCATCCTGTGCCTGCGCAGGGGGAGCTGGGGGATGAGCACATCCTGCATCCTGGGCTTTGTGCCTGCTCAGGGGGAGCTGGGAGATGGGCACATCCTGCATCCTGGGCTTTGTGCCTGCGCAGGGGGAGCTGGGAGATGGGCACATCCTGCATCCTGGGCTTTGTGCCTGCGCAGGGGGAGCTGGGAGATGAGCACATCCTGCATCCTGGGCTTTGTGCCTGCGCAGGGGGAGCTGGGAGATGGGCACATCCTGCATCCTGGGCTTTGTGCCTGCTCAGGGGGAGCTGGGAGATGGGCACATCCTGCATCCTGGGCTTTGTGCCTGCGCAGGGGGAGCTGGGAGATGGGCACATCCTGCATCCTGGGCTTTGTGCCTGCGCAGGGGGAGCTGGGAGATGAGCACATCCTGCATCCTGTGCCTGCGCAGGGGGAGCTGGGAGATGAGCACATCCTGCATCCTGGGCTTTGTGCCTGCTCAGGGGGAGCTGGGAGATGGGCACATCCTGCATCCTGGGCTTTGTGCCTGCGCAGGGGGAGCTGGGAGATGGGCACATCCTGCATCCTGGGCTTTGTGCCTGCACAGGGGGAGCTGGGAGATGAGCACATCCTGCATCCTGTGCCTGCGCAGGGGGAGCTGGGAGATGGGCACATCCTGCATCCTGTGCCTGCGCAGGGGGAGCTGGGAGATGAGCACATCCTGCATCCTGTGCCTGTGCAGGGGGAGCCGGGAGATGAGCACATCCTGCATCCTGGGCTCTGTGCCTGCGCAGGGGGAGCTGGGAGATGAGCACATCCTGCATCCTGTGCCTGCGCAGGGGGAGCTGGGAGATGGGCACATCCTGCATTCTGGGCTTTGTGCGTCGCCAGAGACACAGTCATTGACTTTTTTTTTTGCCTCTGCACAGAACTTTGCAAGTGATGCTGTTTAACGACCTTGTGAGATAAACAGGGGCTGTTGTAAGGGACATCCTGGCCAGTGATTTTTCTCTGCTTTCTCTTCACTTCTGCCTCAGGCCTCTTGGTTTTGCTGCACCCCAAATCCTATCTGATCCTAATCTAGTTGCTTATCAGGAAAAGCACTCCCACCTACATACACCAAGAGGTCCAAGGGCAGTCCCCACTCGGGCTGTCACATCTGCGTGCTCTGACTCACATGTTCTGCCTTTTCCTATTGCCACCAGGACCCAGCCCTCCAGAGTCCCTTCCTCTGGGTCCTGGACTCCAGGCCACTCATGGACCTGATTAGACCCCTTGCACTCTCAGCTTCTGACTGATGATCCAATTCTAAACTTTTATAATTGAATCGAGTACTTTGTTGGTTTATTTGGTCCCAAACAAATGGTCCACCTCACAGATTCATTTCAGCCCTTCCCTGTGTCTGAAAACTCACCAGTCATCCTGAGCTCCAGTTGTTATATTGTTGTTTTCTTTCCCAGACTTTTAAAAATAGTATTTGTCCCAGCAGGGCGACTTGCTCTCCTCCCATGAGTGCTGGCAGCCTCTGCGGCATCAATCACTGGCTCCCGTGCTCCCTGTCCCCTGACATGTCCCTGGGAGGCCTCCAACGCTTTCTGTCGAACGGTCCGCGCTGTGGCTTGCTGCTTGCATCTTCTGCAGAGGCATCTTGGCTGTCGTCTCCTGGTTGATAGTAGGCCTGGCTTTCTTAGAAGCTCAGATGTTGAAGCTACACAGTTACCTGAAACACACCCCAATCTGTACCCCACTGGTCTGGAAAAGTGGTCCCCTCATGGCTGTGACCTCTTGGTCTGAGACTTCCCAGGAGGACTCTGTGAGCAAGCCCTCTTTCTCTTCCCAACTGTGAGTAGGGCCATTTGGATGCTTGGGCCTTTTGCCAAGGGGGTGGGAGTGTCGGGCTTCCTGATGTCATGGGGGTTCTGGAGTGTTCCTCATGGCAGCTGTCAGAAACTTCTAGAATGCAAGCTCTTCAGAAACTACCCTCTCTATCCATCATCATCTCCTCAGCCTCTTTTTCCCACTTCTGCCATCATTTCTCAGTGGCTGGCAGACTCCAGCTAGAACAGAAGGACTGAGTTGAAGGACTAAAATTGGTTACTGTGCCAAGAGTGGGGCAGAGTGTGACAAAGCAAAATCCACAGTCAGACAGACACAGATGCAAGTCCCGTGACCTCAGATGAGACCTTCCCTCAAGGTCTCACATGTGTCCCAGGAGGGCTGCCGCCCAGTGGATCCGCTTTGGGCCTGAAGGGAAGCAGCGCGTGGAAGAGCATTCAGCATGGCACTGCAGGCACCCAGCAAGCGCTGCTTCCTCCCACTCCCCATTTCCTGTTTCAGGCATTAAGAGCCTGATCATGAGAGGGGCCAGAAATCAGAAAAGTCAGGAAAAGACAAGCATCCGTTAATAACTCCACCTATCAGGACTCCACAGATGCTTTTTATTGGGCACCTACTGCATGCCAGGCACCGTTGGAACTGTTCTGGGTGTCGGCCATTTAGTAGTCCAGCAAGGAAGACCAACCATAAACCAACAGAGGGGGAAAAATGCTCAGTAGAAGGTAAAGTCCCTTAACGTCGACAGATGAAGCAGGGTGACAGCAAATGCTAGTCTTGTGCAGGCGGGCTGGGTCAGAATGCCTTCAAGGTGGCATCCTCCACCATGATGCTGTTCTCTATCACCATTTAGCAGGGCGATGACTGGGCTTATAGGTTCCTCTGTTTGTCTCTGTGCTAAGCAGGTCTCCAGGGTGATGGTGAGATGCCTGGCTCTTGGCCCTCCAGGCCCAACACGCCCCACTCGGTGCAGACACACGGAACTCAGCTCATCACCCACACAAAGCGTCTCATTTCTCCCATCACTGAAGAATGAGGGGTTTCCCAGTAAGTGGCTTTGCCACCTAATGCCTTTAAGTATCAGCCCTCTGAAAATATTGACTATTCGGTAGAAACCTTCCTAAAATACACAGTGCCATTTCTAACTAGTGCAGGGAATCCTGAGCCCAGGCCACAGTCGGGGGACACGGCCAGACCTGCTGAGGTGTGTTTGCTGTTTGCCCCTGTCCTAAATAGCCCAAGCTGCTGTGCTTTTCCAATGGCTTTAATATTATGTTTTGATACTTTTTATGTAATCAAGGGGTCAACAAACTAAAGCTCACATCCCCCCTCCATCTGTTTTTATAAATAAAGTTTCATTGGTACCTAGCCACACCCACTCATTTACATATCATCAAGGGCTGCTTTCACGCTACAGCGGCAGAGTGGAGGAGCCGCAAAGCTAAAATTGACTGTCTGACCCTTTATAGAAAAAGCGTGTTATCCCTGGTCTAATCCGTGGCCGCCCATTGTCACTTCTTGAAGCCTTTTAGGAACCTGCCACGATTAATCCCAGTGCCTTTTTCAACTCCTCTGGGATGAGAGATTAAATAAACAAGTTTGTTTGTAAAGTAAAAGTAAATAGGCTTTCCGTGGGCCACAGGGCAGGGCTGAGGGCTTTCCCATAGGTGACAGGCAGAAGCTTAGTATGTAGGTTTCAGGCCTCATTTTGTTTGCCGGGGCTCTTTTCTTTATTTTGGCTTCTCTGGAGTCTTGATCAGTGGGTGACAACATCTCCCTGTGCAGGCTGTAGTAGTCAGGTGGCCTTACTACTCACAGGATGTGACTTGCTTTGCTTTAAGCTCCTTATTCCCTTAGTCTCTGTGCTGTCCCCTAAGTGGTGTCATTGGCTCATATTCCATTTGTGCCCCACAAGAGGAATCTGGTTCCCTGAACCATATGCAGGGGGCTCCCCCTGCCACTGGAGGGCCCCTGTCATAGGGATGCCCTTGGGAAACCATGTAGATGTGTCTGGATGCTGAGGTGTGTTACCTTGTTTCTCAGAGAGGTCAACACCCCGATAGTCACAGACTCCTATGTTGTGAATCTCAAATCTCCCTGGGATGTTTTCCTCTTGGGCACTAAGCAGAAGCCAATGTTGGTGACTGTGGCCTGCTGCTTGGCGCTGTTAATGTGGAGATGATAAATGGAGAGTCTTCTAATTTCATAGGGACTGGTTCTACCTACCCACCTCTACCCCTTGATCCCTATAAAACCCTACAAGCTCAGCGGAAATCCTCCCTGTATTTGTAAGATCTTGTTGCTCTACTTTTCCATTGATTGCCCCCTTATTCTCATCACCTGCCTCCTCATTCTCTAGGTAGAAGGATCCAGGTCACTGGAAGATTCCGGCCTTAGCTCGAGGAGTTAAAACAGGCCAGAGAGCAGCACAGTGCAGGGCCGGTGCAAGGCAGCCCTAGGCCATCTGGATTCATGCTCTGCAAACCACATTAGGGTTCTGAGCATTGAAATGGATCCGAACCAAATGATAGGGCCCTTTCCGTGTGTGTAGGAGACGGGGCAGGGGAAGGAGTGGGCACAGAGAGGAGACAGCAGGTGCTGCAAAGTTGAGCAGCCACCCTGAATCCAGCCTATTCAGGAAGCGTGGCCATCAGCAGGCGACAAGTGGCAGAAGTGGGTGTGAGCGGGTAACACGGTATGTCGTCCTGCTCGCCACTGCCTGCTCTCTCTGAAACAGTAGGTCCAGCTCTCTGCTCTGTTTTACAAGAGAGCTCACCCCATCTTCTCCTGCCTCGTCACTAACTTGGTTTCCACCCTCCGCCTTCCGGGATCCTGGAACTGCATCTTCATAGCAACCCCAGTATTGTTAAATCCAGTGCCAGAGGTTTGTAGATTTGGTGTAGACGTGGAGCAGCCCTGAGGCCCAGGAGTTCGTCCCTTAGTGGCCTTTCTTAGAGCAGCAGAAATGGGCAAACCAAAGGGTGCCAAGTTATGCACAGTGTTCACCACAGCTGGTGACTTCCTGGATTCTCTCCCTCTCCTCTTGGACTTTCTGGAGTTACCGTGGAGATATCAGGCCTGATGGAGATAATAGCAAAAAGCAAGAGATGTGGCTGGTTAATTGGTGAACCATTTTTAAGCTAACAAACAAGCGGCTATTTTGGTTTTTTTTTTTTCTCTTTAATTTTTGTCCTTCCTCTTTTCAAACATTTCTTGTACTGAGGATAACACCACCAAAGGGTGTTAAATTGGTTCTGAATGTCCACCTCTGGCTGGCCACATTCTAGTAACGATTTTATTAGCCTGAATTATCCACTTTATTTTCTTGTAATGGGATTAGCTGTACTTGAGGCAGCTGAAGACCAGAGGGGACGAAAGTGTGGGAGAGCATCCGCTGTGTGTTTCATTAACCCACTCAGGCAGAGGAGTGGAACTGACCAGAATGTGGTACCCCAGGCCGGAAGTTGTGCCTCCATCCTCTCCTGAGAGGAGGAGCACGCACAGCTGTCCCAAGGGCTCGTTCCACCCAAGGGATGTCAGGGGTGTCTGGGTCTGGCTGAGGGATGCCTCCTTGGGGACAGTTTCTTCCGATTATGTTGTAAAGCTAGTAAGACGTGGATAAGAGGGAGATCGGCTTTTTCAGAGCTCCACGAGTCGCAGAATTACATCTGGCCCCTTTGCCATCTCAGCTCTTTGCTGGGAACTCCTGACGTTCACTAGGAGGGGTCCCACTTGCTTCACAAGCTCCTTCTCGCTTTGAGCCAAAACACCATAAGGGCTTAGGGAGGAGTCACCTGCTTGGCACCAATACAGATCCTTCTCATGGACAAAGGCGACAAAGGTATTACTCACAACAGAAACTCCATTCATTCAGTTTCTGATATAAGCCAGGAACCATGGATTCAGCAACATTGTGTTAGGCAGTGGGGGTTGGTTATTCCCATCTTATAGGTGGTAAAACTGAGCCTCAGAAAGGTGGTGACAGTGCAGGGCTGAGATCTGAAGCAAAGTCTGGCTTCACACTTAGGTCCTTTTGGCGGTGCTGTGACTCAGCCCCTCACTGTCAGAGATAGGCTTCCTCTGCAGAAGCTCCCTGCTGTATACAGTCCCTGGTGAATTAGAAGGGCCACCAGAATGCTAGTTAAAGACAAAGTCCTTGTGCCTTGATGTATATGCTCAGCCCTTCCGAAGTAACTGCCTTCTCCTCTCCCACATTGTACCTCCCAGCTGTGTTCAATGGAATATCAGAGTCCTGAGAGATGCTAATAGCTTTTCTTGTTTGGGAGTTTGAAAAAAACTATGTCTTTTTCCTCCCTTTCCCAGATAAATCCTCCATGCACCTAATATCTTAAAGGCACTGACAAGGTCTGCAGCAGAGAAACTTGCTGAACTCTGTTTAAAAAGATGTCTCCCAAACTTACCAAATCCCAGAAGCCTTTACACACAGAATAACTATTAATATCTTTCAGGAAAAGTTCAAGAAACACTTTTTTAAATGTTATCTCTGATTTTTAAGACTCTGTTTTTATGAAATTCTCTGTCCGAGGACTCTGTTCAGGTTGAGCAGACAGTGTTTCCCCTTCGATTGCTTCTAAACTCCATGCACAGATCTACCCTGTCTACTGTGAGGCAACAGGTGAGGCGAGCCTGGGCTTCGGGGTTTCATCAGGCCTCAGTGTGAGAACTGGCTCACCGTTTAATAGCTTTGTACATTTTGGTAAATCCATTAAACAGCCTGAGCCTCATTTTTCCCGTATGTAAAATGGGCAGACAGCTGCCTCACAGGATCATTGAGGACACATAAGAGCAATACATGGACTATTCTTAGCACATTACTGGGCCTGTTGCATGCTCTCACATAAAGGGGGTGACTACAGAAAGTGCCTCTGATGGAGCAGGAGGGAAAATATTACAATGTCCATTTCTACTTCAGTTTTATTTCATCCTTCTAAATTTCCTAATATTTATTTATTTAGATTTTCTGAGATGGAGTCTCACTCTGTCGACCAGGCTGGAGGGCAGTGGTGCAATCTCAGCTCACTGCAACCTTCGTCTCCCAGGTTCAAGCAATTCTCCTGCCTCAGCATCCCCAGTAGCTGGGATTACAGGTGCGCGCCACCATGGCTGGCTAATTTTTGTTTTGTATTTTTAGTAGAAACAGGGCTTCACCACGTTGGTCAGGGTAGTCTAGTACTTCTAACCCCAAGTGATATCACTTCAGCCTCCCAAAGTGCTGGGATTACAGGCATGAGCCCCTGTACTAGGCCTTAAATTTCCCAATTTTTAAATATTTAAAGATCTGCATAGACAATGAAATGGCAGTACATGTACATATCATTCATCAGTTTTAAAATGTGCATATGACAGGGATGCATGCTGAAAACTATTTGCTGAGAGTGTGCACCAACCCTGGGTTGGAGGGGATTGAAAACCACTGTCTTAAAATCATTGCCCCATGGAGGCCAGAGCACATCAGGTCCACTATTCTTTCCCAGCCCGGAGCCTGGAGCCTGCACACAGGGTGTGCTTGGGAGACACTTGCCTGGTGATTGCAGGATCTGTAGCATCTGAATGATGAGTCCCATGGAAATTCCTGCCAACCTTCAAACTTTGGTTTGAGTGCTGGCGATCGGTGAGGGGCGATTCATCAATTGCAGGTGCAGCCACAAATGTGTTCACATCCGAGGTAGATGCTGTGCAGCAAATTGCGGTGGCAAGACCCTCTCTGTCCCCAAGAATCCTGCAGAGGCTGCAGGATGTGATCAAACTGAGAGGGCTGGTAGGTCGCAGGGGCCAAAGGAGAGCTCAGAAAGGCCCTGCTCTTTGTCCTAGGACCTGACCCCAGGTCATAAGGAGCAAGAGGATTCCTGATTTGGGGAAGTAGACCGGCCCTTCTAATGTCTTGAAATAAAGAAATCAGAATGGAGCTCAAATGGAGGCGGGCCACAGACTGCCTCTGTTGTTTTTGGCAACACTGTGTCTTGACCTTGTTACCAATATTTAAAAATCTCACTTCTTAAAAGAATCTGGATCACTGTCTTCTTTGGAAGAAGGGGAAGATCTGCTAGTCCTGGGCCCAGATGTCCACCTGGCCATCTAGATTGGGGCTGAGTGGCCTCTGCCCCTTCCCATGGAGCAGTGGGTCTCAACTCTGAGCAGGCCCACACTCACCCAGAGGGCTTGGTGCAGCCCCAGAGCTTCTGATCCAGAAAGACAAGAGGGGGGCAGACTTTGCATCTCTGACAAGCTCCCAGGTGATGCTGATGCTACCAGTCCAGAGATCAGTCCAGGCTGGAAATGATTTTACCAGTTCACCCAGCTGCGAGGGGCAGAGCCAGGCCATGAGCCTACTCCTTCCAGTGCCGAAACCCCCCCGATCCAGAGCCTCTCAGGAGAGTCCGTGGGTTCCATCTGAAATGCAGGCCCCGACTCTGATTCAGAAATAACCATTTAAGTGCGCATCTCTTGGACTTCTCATCTAGAAAACGAGAGGGTCACGCTTGCCTGGAAAGGACCCCAGTGAAAGGCTATTGAGAAAAGCTAAACGCCATCTTCCACACCTCTCTTTTCACTTTCTTGGAAACTAGGCCATTTTTCAGCCTCCAGGAGGTAGAAATGAAAGGGAATATCATGTTGATGGTGATAAGGTAACCTTTCTACATACACCTGGCTCTCACCATGATGAGCAGTGAGTAACTGGAGAAGTTCAGTCTAAAAGGCACTCTCTAAGAGAGAGCAAGAACCGAAGAGGAAGAAACTCCACACCTAAATATGCCTCTGTTAAATGGCCTCCAAAGCCATTGCCCCCTGTCAGAGGAGGCTTGACCCTGCACTTTTTACACACTCATCAATGTAACCTTCTACAGGAGAGAAAGCATCTCAATGCAGGGCAAACCCTGCTGAGGCTCCTTGTTTGTGTCTGCATCTTGGCCAGGGTTGCCTGTGGAGGGGCCAGTGTCTTCTCTTTCCCACCAAGCAGCACACCATTTGAACATCATTGTCCAGATCTATTCCCTTGATAAATGATCTAGTTGTCCCCGTTTTTTTTTTTGTTTTTTTTTTGTTTTTTTTTTTTTCTTGTTGTGATTATTCATTGCCTGGAAGAAGTAAACGTGGATACTTTGGAAAGAGTGTTGATTCTTGAGGACCAAACGCTCCTTGTAATAGCATATGGTTGTGCTACATAAAAGAACACCCTCCTGTGGGACAGAAGGACTGAATGTCTTGCCACCAAATGTGATTGTGCTTCCACAAGAGCATATCAGTTACATGAGCAATGCATGTGAAGTATAGGGACCTGACACTCAGAGAGAGGCCGATAGATGAATCCCTGATTAAACGAATGGATGGGATGAGTGCTAGACAGTCTCAGGTTCTGTAGACACAGCAGAGTATAGGAGCCCTGACATCTTGGAGTGCACTTTAAGTCTCTAGCAAAAGGAGGGGAAAGGTAAGTACAGAAGCCATTTCAGACAGTGCTCAGATGTGACAAGTGGGGGCTGGTGTGCAAAGGAGGCAATGTTAGATAGAATGGTCATAGAAGACCTCTTCAAGGAGGCGACATTTAAGCTGAGAATTGAATGGCAAGAAAGAGACAATTGTGAAAACATCTAGGTAAGCAGGGTTCCAGGTGATGCAGAAAGCAAGGGCACAGGCCCTGAGGTGAGCATACATTTGGTGGGTACAGGGAATGGGGAGAGCCAATGTACATTCTTCCTAGTAAATGAGGGGATTCAGGGCATGAGGTAAGACTGGAGAGCAAGAAAAGTAAGTCTGATCAGGCACAGCCTTGGGTCCCAAATTAGGAGCTCAGAAATTATTCTGAGTATGCAAAAACCACTAGAGAGTTGAACAATTTGGAAGAGGTGATGACTGGCACATACACATAAAACTCAAAGCAGTAGTAGCCATTGAAACCTACAGTGGGAGTGGTGATGACTAACACATATTCATCAAACTTGGGACAGTAGTAGCCATTGAAACCTACAGTGGGAGTGGTGATGACTAACACATATTCATCAAACTTGGGAGAGTAGTAGCCATTGAAACCTACAGTGGGAGTGGTGATGACTAACACATATTCATCAAACTTGGGACAGTAGTAGCCATTGGAACCCACTGTGGGAGTGGTGATGGCTAGCACATACTTGTGAAACTCAGGGCACTAGTACCCATTGAAATCCACCAGATTGATTGAATTGGGCTCTATTAGAGGGTTGGATGGGGCAGGCTTTAGACCACCCATCACCAAAGGCTTTAGTTTGTATATATCTCAGAAAAAGTGAGAATTCTAGATGATAGTTCCTGTTCCTAATCCTCCCTCCACTACAGAAATTGCCCATTATAGATGACGGGATAGGTTTGTCCCTACCCCCAGTTGGTTTATTTCTCCACCTTGCCACAGCTGGGGATTTGGTCACATGGTAACTCCTTAAGGAACGGGGAATGTGAGACAGGACACAGTGCAAGGCAGCTGCCAGCTTACCATATTTGTTGCCCAGTGGGAACTGTTCCGTGGATCTGTAAGTTCACTGGTGGGAGCCTTCTTAAGGATGGGGCCAGGGGGAGAAGTTAGCAAAGATAAGGCATCCTCAGCTCTAGACCTTTATATCAGTAGAGATAAGTGGCTTTATTCCAGAGTCGTCTTGTGCATCTGAGGAAGAGGGGATCTCACTGGCTGCCTCCCAGCTAAGAGACTTCCCATGCAGCTGCCCCCAATTGGGTGAGGGCTCCCAAGAACAAGGTGAATGCCTAACCTGCTGGTGACTCCCTCCCTGCACTCTGTATTGTCTTTCGCTACTTGTGGACAGATGAACCAGTCGTGTGAGCTCTTAGCAAAGCGTAGACCTGTGGGGAACACCACCCACTTTGAGCCTAGCTCAGCCTGATGCTGCCCATGGAAGCTGGAACAAGTCCCTTCCCCCCTGGTGGTGGGTAAGGACTCACTGAGACCTTGGAGAGATCATGTTACATCTCTGAGCCTCAGTTTTCTCCATCTAGGAAATGGGAATGCCATTGCTCAGCCCACAGGAGCCTTGTGAGTTCATGTTCATCAGGTGCTAACATGCTGCAGAGCATGTAAGTGCAGAAGAAGTACCCAGTGAAAGGACAGATGTGCTTGTACGTGCATCATGTGTTAGAAAATTGGTGGGGGTGGCATATTTGACAGGCTTAATGCCAAGAGATTTAGCCATTTTTTCTTACCTCTAGAAGGAGCAGAAGAAGCGTACAGTTTTTTATCATGAAACCACCCCTTCATCTTGTTCAGATCACACCATTGTTCTGACTCTGGATCTCTTGGGTGGCGGCAGACTTTTTTTCCTCAACAATGCCTTGCGTGCAAGTAGGGAGAAGTTATGCCAGCAAACTCCCCCTCATAACTCAGCATTTCTGCTGGGATTCTGGTGCTTCCAGCAGATCCAAATAGATAGTGAGGAGGACTTCTGTCCTGGGAGCAGAGTGGCAGCCAGCATGCGGGCTGTGGGGTTAAGCCAGCCTCCCAGCCTGCCCAGGCTCCAGGTACCAGCACAGCTGCAAAACTCTCCAGCTCCACGTCTCTGGAGGGTTCTTGCTTCCTCTGCTTCCTCCGCTTCCTCCTTCCTCTCACTTCTTTCCCCCTGAGCCTATCACTTCCATCAGGGAGAGAGAGACCCAAGATGATTCTTCCCTTTTCCATAGCAGCTGCTGGCCAGGCTGGGGAATACCAGTCATGGGCACGCAGTTTGCATGGAGGGAGGAAAGCCCCACCCACCCACACACTGGCCACACACACAGACACGCGCGTACATGTATTGTGTCTGCCTTCAGGCCTGTGTGCAAACACGATTTACATCCCCTGACTTGTTTATGAGGGCTGGGCATAATTGGCTTGCCTCACGCAACACCTCGGGGCCCCATCCCACCTCCTCCCCCCACACCCCCACACACCTCTAAA